GACTCTGGCTACCCAGGTGGTCCATTGAGCACCCGGAGAAACAGACTCAGAGTGGGGACACGCCTCACCCTGGAGGCACTGCCACCTAGAGGGGGCCTCTAGCCACATGCTGATGTATTTGCCACCCCTCAGGACACTTGCCTTCTCCTCTTCATCCACTTAAAGAAGCAGTTAGGGGTCAAAAAAGAAAAAAAGACTCAGCTTGTATAAAGCCATCACACCTCTGTGTCCTGTATTGTCACACACCAAGGGTGTGGCTCCCAGGGCTGGAACCCAACCAGTATCTCTTGAGGAGCTGACTCACGGAGCTGACTCATGCATTTAGATATAACTTCTAGTCTGTTTTTCTAGAAGAAACATTCCCAGCCCTCATGACTTCAGCCCCACTTTGTGCACACCGGAATGAGCTCAGGGAAGATGTCACAGGCAGTCATTGATCAAACTCAAATCACATGGGAAACAGTAAATTAGAGAATAACGAGTCCCAGCCTGAGCAGCACCGGTGCCCCTCAGAGCAAGATGCTGGGCGAGGGAGGACAGGCACCCACGGGCAACAGGTATTTGGGATTGGGATTGCACCATCGCATTTGAGATCTGCTGCAACCTTATACGTAAGTCAGCCACAGCCGTCCACTTACTGACTCAAGTTCATACACCAATTCACTCACTTATCCATTCATTCACTTATTCAATCCCAAGCTTCCACTCTGTGCCAGATGCTGGTGCCAAGAGGGAAAACAACTCCTGTCCTAAAGGAAGTTTTCAGGATGTCACGTCCCTCACCCCAGCCCTCCCCTTTCCAGGCTCCCTGAGCCCAATTCAGGTAAGACCAAGCCCAGCAGCCCTGCCATACCACCACTGTCCAGGAGGTGGCAGCAGACAGGCCCAGAGAAGCTCAAGGGTTGACAACCCAGCAGTGGGAGGAGGAGGGCGGGAGGGTCACCTGGAGAGGATGTCCTTCCCTGTTTTCTGGAAAGGACCAGATACCTGAAGCTGGCCACAAGGGAGTGTGGTGGTGGGCGCCTGTAATCCCAGCTACTTGGGAGGCTGAGGCAGGAGAATCATTTGAACCTGGGAGGTAGATTCACTGTCCCCTTGTCTTTGTGAATTAGCAAGGACATTTGGTTACAAGTAATAGAAGGCCCTGGCTTAAATGCTGGGGGAGGAAATATAATTTCTCAACCCTCAAATGTTCACAGTAGGGACAGATCTCCCTGTAACAAAAGACAGATTAGCAAGAGAAAAACAAGCAAGTCTGTAACACGCACGGTGCAGATCACAAGGGAGAAACCTCAAAGAAAGCTGACAGTGTAGTGGCTTAGGACTCTGGCTTAGAGAGCATCTTCAATAAAGAACAATAGAGCTGGGCGCGGTGGCTCACGCCTGTAATCCCAGCTCTTTGAGAGGCCGAGGTAGGTGGATCACGAGGTCAAGAGATCGAGACCATCCTGGTGAAACCCCGTCTCTACTAAAAATACAAAACATTAGCTGGGCATGGTGGCGCGTGCCTGTAATCCCAGCTACTCAGGATTCTGAGGCAGGAGAATTGCCTGAACCAGGAGGCGGAGGTTGCGGTGAGCCGAGATCGCGCCATTGCACTCCAGCTTGGGTAACAAGAGTGAAACTCCGTCTCAGAAAAAAAAGCAATAAATTTTAGGCTGGGTGCGGTGGCTCACGTCTGTAATCCCAGCACTTTGGGAGGCCAGGGCGGGCAGATCACTTGGTCAGGAGTTCGAGACCACCCTGACCAACATGGTGAAACCCTGTCTCTTCTAAAAATACAAAAATTCGCTGGGTGTGCAGCTACTTGGGAGACTGAGGCAGGAGAATTGCTTGAACCTGGGAGGCAGAGGTTGCCCTGAGCCAAGATCATGCCATTGCACTCCAGCCTGGGTGACAGAGCAAGACTTCATCTCAAAACAACAACAACAACAAAGTTAGCAGGGCATGGTGGCTCCCACCCCAGCTTCTTGGGTGGCTGAGGCACGAGAATCACTTGGCCTGGGAAGTGGAGGTTGCAGTGGGCTGAGATCACGCCACTGCACTCTAGCCTGGGTGACAGAGAAAGAGACTCTATCTAGCAAAAAAGAATTTTAAAAGTGGGATGAAGCCGAGGCCTGGGGTGCAGCTGCACCTGGAGGAGGGGCCGGAAGCAGGAGTTATCGTTTCCCATCTCAGCAGCCCACAGGGCAGTGGCTACTTTCTTGTCTTGTCCCAGGACTTTCTTGTTCCTCAGACTGGGAAATGGGCCATAGCAGGCTGGAAGGTACCTGCTCCAGGCCCAGCCAGCCAGGGAGACTACTGAACTCCAGGGAGAGGGACTTGGTGGATCCGCTAGGCTTGGGTCGAGTGCCTGCCCTGGCACCAATAAGTGGTGACAACTGCGGGGACAATGCTAGTCAGTCACCAGGTGGCCTTGAGAGAATCACTGGAAACTGGGAGACCCTTGATAACACAGAACCACGGGAATGAGTTTGGGCGTGCAAGGCTAGGCACACAGAGGCTGTTTCTATACCCTTCCATGGACCACAGTTGCAGTTGGGTGACCTGTCAGCTCCAGCCTCACTGCAACAAGGGATATTGGTTGGAAACCCTGCCCTCAGCCCCATGGCATTCCCCTTTCTTGTGCACTCAGCTTGATGGATTCCAGCCACAAGTGCCTGCAACTCTGCCTCGGGGAACGGCCTCCACACTGGAATGATGAGAGGGAATAGCTAGAGTCCCTGGCTCCTGCCCCTCGCAGGGGGACCAAACCTGAAGTGCATCCTACATGGACTTCCAGAGCTCTCCAGGGGCACTGAGGTCCAGCCACCCACACCAGGGACCTGTTGATGACACACTTTGCCTGGGCTGCCGCCCCCAACCCTCCGCCCCATCTTGCCTCCATAGTGCCCTCCTGGCGTTACCTGGATTACTGCACTGCTTTCTGGCTTTCTACTTTTTCTCTGGGTTTGCTTCTGGGGACTCAACTCAAGACCCTTGTCGTCTTAGCTAGGTTTCCCAGAGGAGAGGTCAGGAGCTTTTGAGAGACAATAGCATAGGCCAGGCACGGTCACTCACATCTGTAATCCCAACCAACACTTTAGGAGGCCACGGCGGGAAGGACTGCTTGAGCCCAGGAGTTTGAGACCAGCCTGGGCAACATAGGGAGATTTCCCTCTCTACAGAAATAAAAAAAATTAACCAGGCCTGGTGGCACATGCGCGCACAACAGAGCGAGATCCAGTCTCAGAAAAAGATAAACACATACGCTTTTCCATTCAATTATCCCTTTTTCTCTAAAAATAGAGCTCTTTATTTAAACAGTTTAGGGTAATACCAACAAGCATTAGGATATCATTTAAATAGGATATAAACACAGAAAAATAGAAATAAATACAAATATGTAAGAACAACCTAACACTGTTAGTCCTAAATTTTCACCGGATGTCCCTCCAGTGCGGGCCCAGCCCACACCACGCAGCTGCAACCTGCTGTGCACGTGAGAGAGCTTTGTAACAGTTACGTGCCGAGCACTCAAGGCAAAGTATTATACTGATTCTCACGCCCTATCCTGATGCTTCTCATGGCTTTTTGTGAATGACTTAATGACGATAAAGAAGATGGAGCTGACAGTTACTAGAAAGCTCAAGCTATGTCAGAAATTAAACTCTGGAAATAATTCTTAAAACAAAAATTTGTTTTTTTTTTAAGAATTGGTCGGGTGTGGTGGTTCACATCTGTAATCCCAGCACTTTGGGAGGCCGAGGTGGGTGGATCGCCTGAGGTCAGGAGTTCGAGACCAGCCTGGCCAACGTGGTAAAACCCTGTCTCCACTAAAAATACAAAAAAATTTAGCCAGGTGTGATGATGGGTACCTGTAATCATAGCTACTTGGGAGGCTGAGGCAGGAGAATCACTTGAATCCAGGAAGCGGAGGTTGCAGTGAGCAGAGACCACACCACTGCACTCCAGCCTGGGTAACAAGAAGAAAACTCCGACTCAAAAAAACAAACAAATAGTAAGGTTTAAGAATAGAAACGGAGTGGTTATTTCACACAAGCCTAAGATGATGCCGATGATAGCTTTTACTTTTTTGAAATTACCTCCACGAAGCGGCTTGGCTGGGTTCCACAGAGAACATCAGCACAGGTCTGGGAATCTCCCTGGGAGCTGGCCCTGAGCCACAGCCATCCCCAGATCCGTGGTTTGTTTGCTTTTCCTCTCCTGGGCTCAATGATGTGGACAAGCCTCACTGCAGGGAAAACCCCTGGGGAGACACAGGTGTGTGTGTGTCCACCTGTCCATTCCAGCAGTGGTGGAGGCCTTCTGACCCTTAGAAATCGTGGCTGTGACCTTCATATTTTATTGACATGGCCAAGGGGTCAGAGGTTGGCCTGGCTGTGCAGAGATCGAAGCTCTCTCCCTTGGAGATGTGCACAATAAGTCATCGGAGTAGCACTGCTGGGTGACCTTGGGTAAGTGCCTTTGCCACTCTTGACCTCAGCTCCTTTGAAACAAGATAGGTGTTTGATTGGAAAGTGGTTTGCTAACTTTTTTGGGGGCAGTGGAACCTCTCTAAACAAAACCTCACGTGGAAAGCCACAGTGTGTAAATCAGGGCACAGTGAGGCTGCTCCGGTGAAAGTGGCGAGGCTCCTAGAACCCCGTAGCACCCTGTGCAACTGCCACCAAGGCCTTTGGGGGACATGGTTTGAGAACCCCTGGATAAGATGCCCTAAGAAGCTTTTCCAGTTCTGCCATTTAATGCTGTACTCTTGTGGCGGCTTTAAAACAACACAGCTCTGCGGCTTCAGGGGCTTTGAAGATCCGTTCTTCACAAATCCAGAGACGTTAGTCCTGGCAGGTTGAATGATCACAGAGGCGGGGTTGTTCAGATTCCCCACCACAGAACACTTTGGTCCTAAGGGTGAAAACTCAGCTATGCTCGTTTGTATTCAGGTGGGTGTAGGTTAGCTGAGGATGCTTCACCACCCTCAGGTAAGGATAGTCACCTGAGGGTGGTGATGCAACCAATAGAAGGCATTGGTTTCTTATAAGGAGAATGAGACTTCTTAGGATCTCAATAGTCAACCAAGGGTCTAAAGTGCTGTCCAAACAGGGCTTATGGGCCTAGAAGTCCGATTCCTGCCATGTTACTGTCCTACTCCAACAAACTGGGTCCCTAGAAGGTGGAGCACTTGGTTCCTTCCCTGGGAAGCAGGGTTCCCATTGCTGGGTAATGGTGGAGAGACCAGGGTCCCCTTGGGTGGGGCTCTGGCTTCTGAGAGCTTGATCTCCTGATGGGGAGGCAGTGAGGGTAGAAGGAAGGAGGTAGATGGGGGATGAGACAGGCTGAATGGTGAGTGCTCTGTCACTCTGGGTTTAGGGGCCACAGGTGGGAGATGCCAAGGGGTCTCCTGGAGCCTGGATGGATGGAGAATTCTACCAGCCACCACATAGAGAGCACCAAGGACACAGAGGGCTCCGTGCTACACATGGCTGAGATCCCCGAGAACCCTCACGACACCCAGGTGTAGCTGCAGACGAGGAAGCCGAGGTAGAGAGGGGAGGTGGCTTCCCCAAGATCAACAGTCAGTGAACAGCAGAGCTGGGATTTGAACCCCGGCCTGACACTGAAAACCGTATAGTGCCATGACTCCAAAGACCAGGATTTGAGGACAGCCACCTTTCCCTTCCCATCCAAAACCCTCGGCCAACTGGATTTTAATCTGGGCCTAACCTAGGGAACCCATGAATCAAGAGGCTGAGCCCTGGGGTCGGGGAGCTCAGTGGCTGCTGGGAAAGGCATGAGGTATAGCGGGTGTGCTTCCAGAGGTCCCAAGTTCCAGAGGGCCCCTTGCTGGTGTCTGCCCTTGATGTCTGCTGTGACCTGACCTCACCTGTTTTGTGCTGTCCTGGGATAATTTTTCCCCCTGGCCTGTCACCCCACCAACCTCTGACCTCAGCCCACTCTGTGTCCACCCCTCTTGTAGCTCTGCCTAAAGTGGTGGGTCACAGGAGGAAGGGGCCTCTTATTGCTGAGCCTGGCAGACAAACCACTGCTAGGTGGACGTCCTGGAAGTGCAATGCCCCTCTGCCCTCTAGGGGAAGTATGGAGGCTTTCGAGTTTCTTGGGAAGCCCAGTAGTCCTCGCAAAGGCAGAGGCATCACAGTCGGTGGAAGCCGGGGGAGAGCTCACCTGGCCATGTAATGCCCTAGTGTCCTCTCCTCAGTCCTCTGGGTGCTCTCAGCCCCCCAGCTGCCCGGACCACTGTCCTCAATTTCTGATTCCCTCACCTCCTCTTCTTCCTCTTCCTCTTCAGGGCTGCTGTCCCAGCAGACGGTCAGTGTCCGAAAAGAAACTGGGAGCTCCCCAGAGACCAGATTCGATGCTGGTGGTAAGGTGCCCCAGGTGGCCCAGGAGGAGAGGTCGTCTTTTGGGAGCTCTTCCAGGAAACCCGAGTCCTTGGAGAATTCCAGCGATGGGAGAGGCGCTTGGTGCCCGTCCCCACCTGACCCTTGGCCTGGCCCCTTCTCAGACAAATAGCCAGAGGATCCAGCCCTGTCCCAGGAGGAGTCCATAGTGCTGGCCCAGCTTCTGTCTGAAGAATCCCAAGCAGAAGAGCCTTCGCCTGGGTCCAGGGGAGCCCTGGGCCTCCCTGAGTCCACCTCACCTGCCTCTGAGTGCTCTGGAACCTGGCGCTGTTGCCCCAGGAAAGAGGGCGGTTCAATGTAGGGCTGGAAGCTGACGCCATCTTCCATGTCCTCCTCCTCTTCCTCCTTGTCTTCCGCAAGTGCCTTTGTCCGTCCTGCCTGCTGGGTGGCTGGGGCCCTGACTCTAGGCGTGGTCCTAACCCCTCTGGTCAGCTCCTTTTGTGGACGGAGGAGCAAGTCATTCAGGGATTCTGGTCTGCTGGGCTGAAAGGTTGCCACAGGGTGTGTGTGTCCAGAAAAGTCCTGATATGGGGAGGGGAGAGAGGAGCAGAAAAGTTAGGCTTTCCCTCCTGAAGCACAATTATCTTCATCTAAATTTTCCTAGAAACAGACCTGAGAAAAGGATTCAAGTGTAAGTAGTTTCTTTGAGAGGTGATCCCAGGATGCACTAGATGGGAGTTTGGGGGAGCAGCCCTAGGGCTCCTGGCACTTAATCCTGCTGGGGACTCAGGGAACCACGGGGGCACACGCACCTCAGAGCGATCCCACGAGGGGGATGCCCCTGGGCTATTTACCCACAGCCCCTGTCCGTCATTGCTGAGGGATGGAAGAGCTGGTGGCAGTGTTAATTCTCTGCCACTTAATGCCTGCCATGTGCAGGGGCAGTGTGGGCTCCAGAGGCCAGAGAAAGCCCACTGGGTGCAGGTGCTGGGAGCTGCCAGTCCAGCGAGTGTGCTCTTAACAGGAAGTCTGAGGGCACGGGGCAGGGCACAGATACATCTACCCGAGCCTGTCATCTCGACAGTTAGTGGGGTTCTCTCACAGGCCCTGGAGCTGGGAAATGTGGAAATGCTCCCCTTGCCACCCTGCCATGATGCAGGGACACTCAGAACCCATCCTCAAAGCCCCCATGCCCATCAGAGCCTCGCCCGTGCCCAAGCTGCATCTGCCAGCCCTTATCTGAACAGGGCCAACCCATATCTCCTCCTGGGCTTCCCCTGCCCCAGCAGGCCCCTAGATTCTAAGGGAGAGACCCAGCAGAACAGGGAGGGAGCGCCAAGGTCAGCCAGGCACAGCTCATCCTGGGATAAACTGTGAACTAAAAATTGGGACCCTTTTAAGACATCCCCTTTGGTGCCCCCTCTCCTCCTCCCCTCTGGTTATCTCTTCTGAGGCCCAAGGCTGGGGGCTGTGCTCCCACCACCTGACACATCCCAGCAGAGGTGAAGTTATTTATCTTAAAGGAACTTAAGGCACTCCTCCCTCCTGGGCCTATTTGCTATTTTATTCAGGACTGAATGCATGCATTACTAATGGTGGAAATTCAGACACAAAGATAG